ACTTTTTTTCAACTCTTTTAACTCTCTTTTTCAAGGTGATGTCGAGATAGTTATAATTACGGTAACAAAATATTTCATTCGCTTTTTAAGTAACACTGTTGTTAAAAGTAGCCAGCTACTTTTGTAATAAGTAGCGTTGCTCTTAGAGCCTTTGCAATTATTATCGAATATTGGCAGCTCCATAGAGATACCAAAAAGCTTCAACTAAATTCATTCAGTTGTTTTTTGAAAAAAGCATAAGAGGTTGCAACCTATAACTTTTCAGGCAAAAAAGTATCTCAACAGCTAGCATTAGTAAGTAAAAGTTTGTCAGGGTACTTGCTTGTCATGGCTAAATGCGTGGGCACGAATGGTTGTGCATGTTTTGTACTTGCTTGTCATTAAATTTTGAACTTGCTTTTGAAAAGCATGTCTTACATCCTAATTAATTCATCGGTCTGTTGTGTTAAGCGAACTTTCTGGAAGGCCAACTAATAACGGAAGTGAATAATTGAGCTGACTAAGAACAATATTTTTTAGAAGTTTGATCTTGAACGCGCTTATTAGTGAGTTTTTAAGACGGGCTAAATCCTTATTGCAACTGCTTTTTTCCGTAGAGCACTATTAACTTCTAGCCCCATTGTGAATATAACGTCAAAGTTGAAACCTATATATTTAACTTGATTGCTTCTGTGATTGTAGTTCCTGCTACTTTCAAGGTTTTTATTTCTGACAACGTTTCCACTTCTAAGCTTGTGCTTTTTGAACTTTAATCTGTTTTTGTTTACAACGAGTTTTTGATGTTGGAAGAGCTTTAAGCGTCTAATTAGGTTTTTGTTTCAGCTATTGAAACAAATAATCAAGCATTTCTAAAGTATATGAACGTTTTTTGGAAACGCTTGCGTCTTTAAATTTCATCACTTGAATAATTGGCGTCCAAAAATGTTCTGCCCCTTGGACAACAATCAAATACCCTCGTTTTCTTCAAAACGAAAAATATATACAAATTCTAGCTCGCTATTTGCTATGACCAGGAATGTTTACTATACTTCAAATATGGCACCTTTTTCTAAGAAATTTCTGAAACTTGTTTTTGCATCGATTTTCAATGCACCTATGCATTGTTGCAGTGGTCAATCAATAAGTTATAACACTCTTTTTTTTTGCAAAACTTACTTAAAAACATGATTACTTACATAACATAGAAAATGCTTTGGGCCAATAATTTTTCGATAGTCATGTTCTGTTTTTTCGAAATAATTTTTTTGTATTTATATGGCTGTGAACACTATCATTTAAAACATTAATTAGGGAACGGCAAAAAAAAACAAGATTGGAACATCTAATATGTTCAAATTAAAATACGAAAAATAATCTCTCCACAAAAAATAATAAAAACAGTTAGGTTTGAAAAAAGGACAAGCTGTATTGACGGTAAACTTTTTTTAAGCGCGTTGTTTCACTCGTGTATTAAAATGACCCAAAGCGCAGCAGAGTGGATCGAACGTATTTCTTTTGTCAATGGTAAATTTTAAAGCTCCACTTCAATTTTTTGTCCGTAAAATTTTAAATTTCATCCAATTTTGTTATTTGATATAACACTCATTTTATAATAATCATTTTCTCAAAAAATTATTTTTGCGATTGTTTTATTTGAAAAACAGAATGGACAAAAGTCTTTGTTCAAAAATACAATACGAAAAATTCAGCAATTAAAATCTTAACAAACTAGTTTATCTTCTTTTGCAGAGAATTGCAAACTTAGTTCTACTGGGAAAAATAAGAAGACAACAAATTTGACATTATTCGAAAAACACGTCTCTTGAAATAATGAGATAAATCTGTTTTCCCATCATTTGTTTAAAGATAAAATTGTGTTAATAAAAGTAAAAAATGAAAATTTATCATCATTTGGCGGTGACAACTATTTGAAACAATTATTTGAATTTTTTTCGCACGACATTTTAAAATTATTCCCACAACTAAACATGCTCATCTGAAAAACTCGGATGGGTTAAAGTGTTTTATCATATGAAAAGCCTTAGAGTAAAAAATTCGTTTCTAAAATTTTGTATCAAAAATTTATATTGTCAACAAAAGTAGAGAAAACTGATCTAGATATTGTCGTGTTTCACGTTAATTCAGAGATTGGACGCCCAAAAAAAAGTTATGTCACAGTGAAGGCTCAATCCGATATCTTTCTTTTCTAATCAACTGAAACTATTACTCAAATTTGAAATTGTGATCATTTTTCAGACGGCAAATTATTGAAATTACAATTTGGTAGTGTAATTTCAATAATTTGCCGTCTGAAAAATGATTTTAATTCTTTTTTTTGTGTTTTGTTCCGACCATTGAATATGGGGAGAAACTTTGTATTCTAGTGTGTTGAATTTGAAAATTGTTGAAAAAAACCTGTTCGAAGTTATTATCTAATTCTAGAAAAATTGACCGAGTGTCGAGACTGGTTTAACTTTTGAGCTTTGTGTCTAATTTGAAGCGATACTAAAGTTGCTATACTTCAAATATGGCAACTTTTTCTAAGAAATTTCTGAAACTCGTTTTTGCATCGATTTTCAATGCACCTATGCATTGTTGTAGTGGTCAATCAATAAGTTATAACACTCAATTTTTTTGCAAAACTTATTTAAAAACATGATTACTTACATAACATAGAAAATGTTTTGGGCCATTAATTTTTCGATAGTCAAGTTCTGTTTTTTTGAAATAAATTTTTTGTATTTAAATGGCTGTGAACAGTATCATTTAAAACATTAATTAAGGAACGGCAAAAAAAAAACAAGATTGGAACATCCAATATGTTCAAAATAAAGTACGAAATATAATCTCTCCACAAAAAAAAACAGTTAGGTTTGAAAAATTGAAAAAGGACAAGCTGTATTGACGGTGATTTTTTTAAGCGCGTTGTTTCACTCGTGTATTAAAATGACCCAAAGCGCAGCAGAGTGGATCGAACGTATTTCTTTTGTCAATGGTAAATTTTAAAGCTCCACTTCAATTTTTTGTCCGTAAAATTTTAAATTTGGTTCATTTTTGTTATTTCATGTAACACTCATTTTATAATAATCATTTTCTCAAAAAATTATTTATGCGATAGTTTCATCTGGAAAACAGAATGGACAAAAGTCTTTGTTCCAAAATACAATACGAAAAATTCAGCAATTAAAATCTTAACAAACTAGTTTATCTTCTTTTGCAGAGAATTGCAAACTTAGTTCTACTGGGAAAAATAAGAAGACAACAAATTTGACATTATTCGAAAAACACGTCTCTTGAAATAATGAGATAAATCTGTTTGCCCATCATTTGTTTAAAGATAAAATTATGTTAATAAAAGTATAAAATGAAAATTTATCATCATTTGGCGGTGACAACTATTTGAAACATTTATTCGAATTTGTTTCACACGACCTTTTAAAATTATTCCTTCACCTAAACATGCTCATCTGAAAAACTGGGATGGGTTAAAGTGTTTTATCATATGAAAAGCCTTATAGTAAAAATTTGTTTTCTAAATTTTTGTATCAAAAAACTTATATTGTCAACAAATGTCGATCGAGAAAACTGATCTGGATATTGTCGTGTTTCACGTTAATTTAGAGATTGGACGCCCAAAAAAAAGTTATATCACAGTGGAGGCTCAATCCGATATCTTTCTTTTCTAATCAACTGAAACTATTACTCAGATTTGGTAGTGTAATTTCAATAATTTGCCGTCTGGAAAATGATCACAATTCTTTTTTTTATGTTTTGTTCCGACCATTGAATATGGGGAGAAACTTTGTATTCTAGTGTGTTGAATTTGAAAATTGTTGAAAAAAACCGGATGGAAGTTATTATCTAATTCTAGAAAAGTTGACCGAGTGTCGAGACTGGTTTAATTTTTGAGCTTTGTTTCTAATTTGAAGCGATTAAAGCTTGCGAGCAGGCTTATTATAAAAAGATAAGCCATGAAAATTTAATAAATTTGTTTTTTGAACTTTTTGTAAGGTCATTTTTGGAAACAAACCTCATTTCTGCACAAAAATTGAAAAAAAAAATGATTTTTTTCTAAGTATCTTTTGGTTTTTGCTGTAATTTTTTGACAAAGTTGTTGCCTGATTTGCTTAATTTACTATGAGTGTCAAATATACTTAAAATTCAGGCTTTATGCAAGCTCTTCCATCATCCCACGCACAAAAATCAATTTGTAAAGAAAAAGTTCGACAAACTTTTTAGTGTTTTTTCAAGAATATGGTCGAAACATTATGTGCTACTTGCACAGCAATCGGCTAACTTTGTTTGTTTTACATGGTTTGCTGTAATAATTGTGCTTAAACAATATGTGCCACCTGTACAGCAAACAATTACACCTGTTACAATGCAAAAATGCTCTCTTTGGGCTACTTCAACCTCTTCTATAACTAAAACAAAAGAAAAACTCTTCAGAAAAAAAAGGTTTTCGAGAATCTTTTGAAAGCGACCGAGACGTTTATTAAAAGTTTTTTGACTTAACTGAATCGATTTTGTTTGTAAAAAACAATGTAAATATAAAAACACACAAGCACAGATAACGAGCCGAAGACTTTTCTACAAGTTGCCCTGGATAATCTTACATAAAGTTAGAAAGAAGAATTAAAAGTTTATTTACGGTCACTTGTTACAGACCAGGTCAAAACGTTCTGAAATTTTGTTTATGTATATTGTTTTTCAAACAGCCAAACTTTTTTTGACATTTTATCAATTATTTCAGGAATGCGTTTGAACATAAAAATTTTTTAACCTTGATATAAACAGATTTTAGAAAATGGAAAGTGCCACAAGGAATAGAAAATCTTCTCTAGAGTTAATGTATTGCAGACTGTTGAATTTTGTTTTTCTTGGACGTGGTCAATCTTTTTTCTTAAAACTGCGAAACATTTAGCTATTAGATACATTTTTCATTTTCCTATATTTAAATTGGTAGCTGTTTTAAAAACTTAATGGAAGTATTAATGTAAATAGCTAATTGGGCGCTTCAGGTGTTGCAGCTTCGATGATTTCCCAGAACGGCAAGCCACCCTTTGTCAGCCAAACGAGCACTGAGTCAATTCTACCGCCGAGTCCTCCAGCTGACATTCGGAAGAAATTTCACCGAACCATCTTCGACTTCTGCTTAAACCTCTTTCTTTTCATTCCTAGTTTTTTTCTTTACTTCGTAATTTTCCCGCCTTTTTATGCGACCAGGTCTATATTCAATCTTTTTGCCATGTTTGTCATACGAGGCGAGTTTTGCGTCCCAACTTTTTTCACGCCGACTGAAATGTTTTTCTACAAAATGCAACCTACCACTAATGTCTGTACATTAACTTTCTCCAAGAGCATGACGAAAGCGAAACTTTGTCGCATGCTTCGAAAACGAATTTTTAACAACACTTACCCTCGATTTGCGTTTTTATTCACGCGCTTTCACCAAGTTGTTCGACACTCTTGTTACAACTATTATTGGTGCGAATTTCTAGAGTTTGACGTTGAGAACCACGTCCACTTAGCCGAAGGAATCCATTCTGAAAACGATTTTTCTCAATTTATACTTGATAAATATTCATATCAATTAGATGCCAAATTTCCTTTGTGGAAAATTTACGTGATCGAAAACTTCGGCGACCAGTTGGAAACGATTGCAGTTTGTTTGGTTCACTCGGTTCTAGCCGACGGCGTGACTTTTGTATCGATGCTAGAAGATTTCATGTGCGACCCTCCCCCTAAGAAAATGTCTTCTGAGAAGTCGTTCGCCTACCGATCCTTCATAAACAACGCTGTTATTTCAATCTTCACCGCTCCTGCAGATATTTTGAACATGTGTCGAAGAAAAAATTGCAAAAAAGAAGTAAAAAAATTATTCAGTCACGATTTTGAGCCAACTGAAACTCATGAAACAATAGAAAATATTGCCACAGAGAACTATAATTCAGCAACTAATGGCAACTTAAGCGCTCAAGCTTTGAATTGTGATGCAAAACAGTTTGACCAGGTAGTTTTTGCCGAACCAGTTCCGTTGATTGCTGTCCAAAAACTTCGCCTTGTTTCAAAAGCGACGGTCAATGACATCTATCTGTCGTGTATTACAGGTGCTTTGAAAAACCAGTTAGGTGAATCAAATTTACCCGAAATTAGGTGTTTAGTTCCCATCAACATCCGGAACCCTAATTCGGACCCCACTGTGGAGCAAAACATCACCTTTATGAGTTCAAAACTACCCCTTCAGAAAGAGGGTATGATTCCTAGTCTTTGGGAAACAAAAACATCTACGCAAGAGGCTAAATTCAGCAGTGAAATGTCAATTTTTGCTGCTGTGTTACAAATTTTCTGGTGCTTGTTACCATTTAGCTTTATCTCCAGTCTTTGTCATCATATTTACTCCAAAAACTTCTGCCATCTTTCGTCATTATCAATGTCGCCCCTGTACTTAAGCATAGAAGGCTCAGTTATAAAAAGTGTGCGTTTTTTCATGGCTCCATTTGGGGACATCAGTTTGGGCTTCAACCTACTGAGTTATGCCGATAATCTGTATCTTACCATCACCACACGCAACGATGTGCCACTCAATTGCAATAAGCTTTGTGCCGACATTAATTCTCAGGTATAGTAATTCTTTCAAGTCACTTACTAGGATCAAATTTACATACGCCCTCCGTGCCCCTACAAAAAAGCATTGCAAAAAGGATAACACATTGCTGTGCAAGTAACGCAGAATGTTCCGTCCATGTTCTAAAAAAATGCGTACGGGTTTTTTCAAATTAGTGTCATTTTTGGGTGTAATGTGGCAGAAGGATCTTACAAAAGCCTTAAAAAGTAAGCATATTCGACAATCAAAGTAAAACAGGCAAAGTGGGCATTAGTTTGTCAAAAAAATGACAAGAAAAAGAAAAAAGTCATAAAACACACGAAAAATTTCAATAGCAGATATTCTTTTTGAATTGTTGAAGTTTTTATTCTCAGGACCGCGCTAAAATAACTTCTAAAATTTTTCCTCGCTCGACAATATACGAAAATTCAAACTATTTTAAACCAGTTCTTCTCGACACTGGGACAACTTAACTGAAAAATTTTTAATGCCGCGCAAATTATGACTGAAATAGCTTTAATATGATACATCGCTCGACCCATTCCAAAGTTTTTGTGATAAATGATTTTGCGTGGAAAAAAAACTTTAAAGCACCCGAATAAAAAAATCCTCGCCATTTTTTGAATGGTTGGAACAAAAACCCTAACCGAAAGAAATAATTACGACTCTACTCTCTATAAGCTACCAACTTGCTGTGAGGTACTGCCTGAGATTGCGCCTAAAAACAGTATATTTTTTAAACCATAGCTGCCTCTATAGTTTTATTTATCGTAAACATAGAATTTGTTGTCCCGATCAGCAAAACAATTACTCTAAGCCGATTAAAACTTATTCAAATAATTCTTAAATTCTTTTCTAACTCTCAGTTTTTTGTAGATTTATTAACTCTAATTTTGTCTCAACTCACAGTAAATGATTTCTTATTGTCAAAAGTAGTTTAAATAGTAAATTAGTCTGGAATTTTGTTTTTAATTTCAGTAAAGCCTGTAATGATATGCAAAGCTGCAAAGCCCGTAAAAACAAACCCAATTTTTTATTAAAAAGTTGAAGAAAATCATCTTCACAAATTTAAAAAAGGCTTTCAAACGTTTTTTTCTTCAATGCATTTCTATATGTTTCGACAGGTATTTTTTTCCGATTTTTTCATATTCAGATTTAAAATTTTGTGACACTCTTTGTGCTGAAAAAAGCTGAACTAAGCTTCAAACTTAGTTTCACTTTTCATAACAAGAGTTTTGAAGCATAATAAAGAGCTTTTTGATTTACTTGCTCGATTTGCTTGCTTCAAATTACACTAAAAAGCAAAATGTTTGAAGTAAAGTTTCTCCAAACTTCAAAAAACTTGCTACAAACTTTTCAATTTTGATAGAATTGAAGATTGAAAGGGCTCATGAATGATAAACTAAACGAACCATAATTGATAATTTTTAAAAGATAATTAAACACAGAGGCGAAGCGGAACTTCACACGACTTGCGATACAAAACAAAAAAACCGCTAAGTTGAAAAAAAAATAGATCTATCAAAATGAATGAAAATATTTTGGAAAAGTAACATGTCAAGGCAAAAGAATGTGACATGTTAAAAGACCGTTAACATCTATTGAAGTTTTACCGAGCAGTAACAAAGTTGAAAATACTTAAACAGAAATTCTTGAAAAACTCAATAGACCTCAAAAATAACACAACTTGGCTAAGGCTAATATAAAATAGGTCAAAACTTATTAAAATGAAAGAAAAGAAAAAAACATACCAGAAAATAAAACTTTAACTTTAAATCAAGTTGTAAAATTAGAGCCAATACAAAAAGCAAAATTTGAATAAAACTTTTCATTCTCAAAAAACTTACATTACAGTTTTTCCAAATGAAGAGCCCAGGAGATGAGACCAAAAGACGAATCCTGTGAACAAATTTATTTATTTATTTACAGAAAACAAAAATAGTACTAATAAAGAGTTTAGATGTACCACTCACTGGTAACTATTGTATCTAACTAATATTAAAAGAGAATAAAAGTATTGGTTGAATTAAAACTGACTGTAGTCTAAAAAGAGCAACTAGTGATCCGAAGTCCACTGGACTTCGTAGAGTTAACATTGACTGGTACGTAATTAGATAATAGAGGTCAAGGTTATAACATACTAAAAATACTGAATCACAACATTCCCCACTGCACAAAAATTAATATCTGCCCGCTCATTGATGTAGCCAATATCACACATATAGTCCATCTCCCCTCGCTCCACTAGGGCCCAAAAAGAAGCAAAAAGTAACCACGTTTAGCACCAATGGATTTTTACAGAGAGTACAAATTACAATGGAGGTGATTATATGGTAATATAAACAGGCTACTTACAGGTCTACACAGATATCAACAATGAATGTACAAAATGATATGTACAACTGGGGTTATGTAGCATTTGTACAATTAAAGCAAACTAACTAAATCACTAACTAGGTAATTTAAAAAAAGTTTTGGGTTATCCAATAGATAAAAGCTAAAGCAAATACGTAAGATATCATGTAACCATAGTTTAACAGTTTTCAGAGTTTAAGACCGTAGTGTTGTATCTAACATGGAAGTTATCTGCTTCTCTTCTTACATCGGTGTCAATGCCCGAGGATATGTCACTGCCGTCATCATCCTGGGTATTACTGGTAACTTCTACCAATGGTGGCAATACCCATGCGGTCCTTGTCGCCTGAGAGGAGGGTGTTGAGAATTGATCTTGTGTGGTTTCAGCAACCAGAGTCGTATGACGTGGGATTCATCAATGGGTGTAAGATAATCTGAGGGGGACGTCGTACAGTACGTTAAATTAGGTCGTGGACTGTTATCGCCGGAAAACGTAATTAGCGGTTCGTCATCGGAGTCTACTGCACTAATGGTCTCCGTTCCGAGCGTCACTTGGTCGATAAACGGCCTATCACCGTAGAATTTTGGGGGGCCTGGGTTTCTTCTTGCACGAAGTTTTGAGGATATCGGGGTCTTTGGTGTATCCACTGTCTTCTCCGGAGAACTATCCACTCGAATTGGGTCGTCACTTGTGCCCGTTGGTATAGTGATCGTTGTCTGAGTGTTTGTCTGGCTTTGTACGGTACTCCTTGGCTGATCTAAATCACTATGAAGGTTAACAGTCGGTGTATTACATACAGTTTCCGCTTCCGTACCCAAGTAGTCATCAATGACTTTATCCCAAAGGTCTAACTCTATTGAAGAATCTAGGTTATTAAAGTCGAGTTTTTAACCTTTCGAGCTCGTGATGAAGGTTCTCCTCTTTTTGCATGTATTTCCACCCGTTGGTGTGTAACTCGTCGAATCCCTCCTATATTTGAGTCTCGTCTCTTGGAAGGGGAGTTTCTTTTTCGCTTGCCTGCTAAATCATTACTATTAATTAGCGAATTCGGTCTGGCCGAGAATGTCTTAGGAGCTGCCGGTTGGATTTTGTTAAAAGCTAAGTCAGATTTTTTTATCACATGTCCGTTGTCTAATGTGACCGTATGTTTCGTGTCTGACAGAGGTTTACTCCCCAGTGGTTTAAAATATGGTTCGCCTTACCTCCTGTTAACTGTTTTCCTAAACCAGTTACCTCCTTGACTGAAAAGATTTGACAGTGGGGCTCGCTGGAGATTTCTATCTACTTTGTCAGCAGGGTCGCTCTCGTACCCTCTTTCATCTATTGCTCTGTCTTCCAGATAACCATCTTCGAACGCGTCGTCAGCCCCCAGTCTTGTGCTCTGTCCTTTGTTAGGATTGATTTCCCCTTATCTAAACTGATTGCGTGAGAGACCAAAGATTTCCAGAACGTATTGGCAGATCTATTAAAATGTTTTGAGAAAGGAGAGCATCCAATGGATGATTGTTTCGTCGAGCGTATATTCCAAATAATTTTATCAATTGCCGTATTTAAGGATGGTTTTGGACCGTTGAACGACATTGCCAGTAGCTTAGCTTTGACAGTGTAAATGAGTCTTTCTACTACTCCGTTGGATCTATGATCACCGACCGTACATAGGATTGAATTAATGTTGTTCTTTTCGCAGAAGTTTCTAAAATCAAACGAAGTAAAACATGACCCATGGTCAGCTCTAATGGACTTTGGAAATCCGTGCAGATGGCAGTAATCTGTCATGAAGGTTAAAATTGAAGAAGCCGAGGTATTGTTCACTACCTTTGCAGACGGAAACTTTGAAAAGCGACCAATGCATAACAAAAGGTATTTTGAGTTACCCCAACTCTTGTCCAATGGGCCAGCAAAGTCTAAATCTACTTCTTCATGTGGTTTGGTCAGAATCGGTAATTTCTCAGTCTTGTTCGTCCCTAGTAACACTTTTAGGTTCTTACCGGCCATTATACACTGAGTGCAATTCTTTCCGTGATGGTAGATCTCTCTGTATAGGTGTGGCCACCAGATGTTTTCTGCCAGGGCTTTCATCCCGAACTGTCCTGGGTGAGTCTCGTGAAGAAGTGACAGGAATGGTGATCTTAATGCAGCCGGCACTATCAGTTTGTTATCGTTAAATAACAGTCCTTCTTTCACGTGAATGTCCCTCTGAAGTTTTTTAAGTAGGCTCCGAATTTGTCCAATGGTTTGCCTTCCTGTACCGCCTTCTTTACCTCCTTGAGGATTTTATCTTCGTCCGTCATGAGTTTAATAAGCTTATTTGAGCAATGATCTGAGAGTGATAACGGGTTGTCAGGCAATCTGAGTTCTCCCTTGTACTTGGCCAGTAATTTCTTGTGTAAGTCTGACATTATATCGTTATTAAAATTCAAAAAGATGTCGTAGATATAACATTTGGTAAAGGGAATATCTTTCAATAAGGAATCCATCACCCTCTGGAATTCGTTTGGCATATCACTCAATCCGTAAAATCCAGTTAAAAATCTATAGGTTCCAGTGGTTTCGCCCCTCCCCCCACGATACTAAAATTACACTGTTTGCCTGTGTCTGTGCATAATTGTAGTTGGCTGTACGCGTTCTTAAGATCTAGACTACTAAACCAAATTTCCCCTGACTCTTTGCTTGACAGTTGGAGTGCAATATTATCGATCAGTTCATGTATGTTTGGCATTTGATACTTGTTCTTGAATATCTGATTATTTAATAGTTTCGAATCTAATGCCAACTTGATGCTACCGTCTTTTTTTTTCTTGTAATCACTACTGGACGTATAAAACAATCTTCATCGCATTTGTTTAATTTTACGACATGCCCCCTTTTTCCATTCTGTTTAGTTCCGTTTTAACGTTATTGAGTAGATGTATGGGAACTCTTCTACCTTTGGTTTGGATAGGTTTGAATGGAGAGTGGAAATGAGTAACTTTTTTGTCCAATGGTATTTTTCCCACTCTGTTAAATAACCCTTTGTACTTATGATACAGATTAAGAGTCGTGTCTGAATAGTTATTTAACTTACACAACTCTGGGCGTGATATGTTGTTGACGGGTAGTAGAGGCTGTCGTTGGGCTATCTCTATTCCAATTCTCGGGAGATTGTCGTTTCCCAGGATGTTCCTCTCATGTCCAGAAATGATAAAAAATGGGGTTTCGCCCGCGATCCATCCATTGGATTGTAATCTCACTACCACTTACCCGATGATGTTGATTGTGTCGTTGGTGAATCCGCAATATAGTTCCCTCGTTTTCTTCTCAACTGGCTGTATCTTCAAATGCGGGTTTCTCAACTTCAATTCGTGAAGTACATTTTGTATCAAAAAGCTCACTGGGCTTGCCGAATCCACTGGAATGTTCAAGTTGACCATTGCATCGTCTCCCAAACCGATGTTGACAAGTTTCTTGGTTTCCGAACCATTGGTATCGTAGATTGTTCTGATGTTGAGAACGGAATAGTCATCGTTATCGCTTATCCCCTCTTCGGTCCAAGCGTTAATCACTCCGCAAAAATTTTCTTCGCTTCTTACCTGAAGGTCTTCTGGGGAATATGAACAATTCTGACTATTTACAGCTTCATCTACAATATTTACAGCGGGTTTTCTTCCTTTCGATTTACAAAGTCTTCCGAAATGTCCTTTATATTTACAAATATTACACACAATTTCTTTCGCCGGACACACATTCAGATGACCCTTGGTAAACGCATTCCCGCATTTCATACAAGTATTTGATCTTTCTATGTTCAAGCTTGGTTTCTTTTTTACGTTGTTGAAGTTTTTATACACTCTCCCACTATTTCCTGTCGTGTTGAAAGATCTAGTCATATTGGTTTATTTGAGGTGGTTATAGTAGCCTTTTTCGTCAATGATTGCTTGGTTTAATGCATCCAATGGATTGAGAGTTTTCGAAAGTAGTCTACGTTGTAAGTCGCAGTTTTTCACGAAAAAATTAATACTTCTCTGATCCACTCCTGTTCTGCATTAATTCCAATTTCACATGATCTTGCTAAATCTGATAACGCGCCCCAAAGTTGTTCATAGGATTCTCTATCCTTTTGTTTCCTGCTCAATAATTTATATCGTTCAAATGTTTTGTTGGTTGGTTTGATAAAAGCCAATTCTAGCAGCTCATAAAATTCCTTGAATGAGATTCCTAGGACTTTCACCCTTGGAGTATAGGATTGACCTTACTTTTTTTATCGGCCTCATATCTCCTCATTCCTCCGAATTTCCGTTTTTCTTCTGCTAGTCTTTTCTCTTCAGCGTGTTCGTAGACTCGCTTTATTTCTTTGTTCCTGGCCTCCCTGGCTTTCCTCTGTTGGTCAGTTTCTGACTCCTGGGCGCCTTCTAGGATCGGTAACGTCGTCTCTTCTTCGATTGGTTCTTTGAGGTTGTCTATGTCTAAATTTTCCTTCGCAATAATAGCCAAATGGAATTGGTCTATCCAGTTGTTCCATTGGGTGGGAGGTTCTACCGTGTGATTCGGCCAAAAGGCGGGTATTCCCCGCAGGTTCGAATCAGTTGTTGACTGCGCCATAATAAAGAGTTTAGATGTAACACTGGTAACTATTGTATCTAACTATTGTTAAAAGAGAATAAAAGTATTGGTTGAATTAAAACTGACTGTAGTCTAAAAAGAGCAACTAGTGATGCGAAGTCCACTGGACTTCGTAGAGTTAACATTGACTGGTACGTAATTAGATAATAGAGGTCAAGGTTATAACACACTAAAAATACTGAATCACAACAAGTACCCGATTGGAGCAGTTGCCATTATTTTTTATTCTTTTTTCTTTTTTTTCAAGTTTTTTTGAATTGAGACAAGTTTTTTGAAGTTTTTTGATACTTAATTGCAGTAAAATTTACGTTGTAAAAGTTTTTGGATCATTGTAGACACAATTACTCCACATTCTTCTTTTTTCACGGAAAAACTGTGGCTAGAGCAAAAACACTAAAACTTTGCAACAACTTTTACGCATCTAACAGGAGTAGTGGGCAAAACCTCTAAATTCAAGTAAAGTGAGTAAACTGTAGTGTATAAGTGAAAAAATGATATTTGGCCTCACTTTTTCATGTTTTTTACAATACAAGCGACGACTCCATTTTGCTTCATTTTGTAAGCTAGCGTAATTTGTCACACCAGATTTTGAGCAGCAGTCCTACGCCCCTGAAAATGGTTCCTTCTCACTAATTAATCAAAACAAAAATTAAATCAAAAATACTATGAAAAAAAGCTATACTCAACTTTTTTTAATTGGATAAATAATTTTCAGGATAATTTTAACTGAAAAACTGAAACGCTTCTTTTTAAACTGCGCATCCTAGAATATTGCTTTGAAGACCAGTTCTTCTGTAGAGCTCAAAGCGGACGAATTGGAGCATGAAAATGCAAATCGTTTTTCCTCTTGCAAATCTTAAAATGTAGTAATATCAAACTGCAGCAAGAATCATGATTGAAATGTTTCCTATAATTTTTTTACGACAACATCTCACGTTTTTTTGAGGCACCTGGTTTTGCGTGAAAAAAAAATAGAAACTTTGAGGTCGGTTTTTCTGAGCTTTTTTGGATGTTTTGAAGAGGCAGTTGAAGAATTATTTATAGTTTCGCAATCCCCCCACCCTCGTCAAAGGACTAGTTCAGATCAGTTTATAACGAACACACCCCCCCCCCCCCATTGCAACAGAGGGGTTAGTTAACGTGATAGATAGTTTCTTACCCTAGATAGTTAAAAATATATATAATTTTTTTGCAAAATCTTACTTGCTACAAATTGTTGCCTAATGGACGTGGAGTTACTGAAAAATCTAGTGCATAAGTTTTCATTAATTTTTCTTAATGTCTTTGAGAACAGTGGGTTTTGCTGGTTTAGATTTATCAACTGAGAGATTTGGTTCAGAACAGAAATGTTCCTCCGAATGCTTACAAGAAAATTCAGCAACTCATCAAAGAGAAGGTTTGAAGCTACAAATTACTTTCTTATATAACAGAATTCTTTCAGAATCAGATTTTTTTTCAGAACTTTGACAATCGTACATTACACACACCGCACGTAGTGTATCGACAAAAAAGGGGGAATTTATGATTTTTTTCGGGGTTGGGCTTTTCTTGGGCACTATTTTAATTGTTCATGACTTTTGATAATTCTCCCATGATTGACCAAAAAAGGATGTCATAAAAGGGGGGCAAAACAGAAGTTACGGTAGGGGTAACTGCAAAATGGACCGAGTTAATTTTTTGGACCAAGTGAGCAATCTCCCCCTTAAATCAATTAAGTGGGGAGAAAGCTAAGCTCACTTGGTTAAACGTAATATTTTTCAGCCAATCAGATTTGAGGATAGTACATGCAGGGCTAACGTCTTGAATTTGCCATTTAATTTTAGGGGGGAGATTGTTCACTTGGTCTATTAAAGGGAGAGATTGTTCACAAGGGGCAAATTTTTCTCTCTTTTTTTACCGGTTGACTGAAAACTGTTTCAGAGTGAAATAGCAGCAGAGATGGCCCACTACCGTCGGCTAGCTGACCATTCGGCCACTTCAAACGAGCAGGGCGGCAGTAGTGGACTCCTGGCCGGAAGTGCTACAACAGCCATAAACCTCGAAATATAGCCAAGTAGCCGAGAGCGGAGAAAGAAGAAAGCTCAAAACTGAAAGTTCAAAACAGTGAAAGCTCAAAACAGTTTAACTAATTCTTAGTTTGAAGTTAATCAAGAGCCCAGTGTTGATTCTGATTTCGGCGGCACTTCAAAGCAGTTGTTTCTCGCAAGTTCCATATGTTGCTGGCATTATTTCACAATGGTTAACTAACAGTACTCCAAGCTCCTAAGCCAAAGGGTCCTTGAAAAAATTCTCGCAACTAACTCTTTATAATGAAGTTGACAGTTGGGGTTGACAGGGACTTGAAAAAAAAAGCTTTTGAAAATTGAAAAGCTTTGAAGAATGAAATAAAACTAACCACTTTTCAAACATAGACTTTTGGCTCTTTGTCAGTCCCCAAATTACGGAAAAATTTTGGTCAAAAAAGGAATCAAGTCAAAACTACAAAATTAAACAGATTTTTTCGATCACAAAAATTTCTCAATCACAAATTTTTTTCATTCACAAAATTTTTTCGATTACAAGTTGAATTGAAAGTCAAAACTGCACGGTAAATAGAGAGAAGTCCCGAGTAAAATTAGCTGAAAAAATTGCCAAAAATTGGGAATTTTTTGGAGATACTAATGAAAAAAAAACATTTGATCTGTCTCGTATGATTATTTTGCGTTGATGCAAATTCTTATGATGATTTTGAAATGATTTCAATTGTTCAGAAATGAGAATGCTGACATATGCTGACAGAAAATAATAACCCTAATTACAAATAAAAGAGCCCTCGTCTAATATCACATTATTTTATCTACTTGAAGCTGCGTGAATTGTTTCACTTTTTTCAATTGTTTTACAAATAAGGAGGGGCGGGGGGGGGGGGGGGGGGCTGATTTAAAATACCAACGACCGATGTATTTTTCTAACTTTTCAAGTAGAAGTTGAATTCATTAATCACATTCTCAAAACACTGAAACGTTTCCTCTAAGGAACTCCTTGTCTTATTTAATAAGATAATCTGGGCCCCTTTACGCTGCTGGCCGGTCACTTTTGTCCTCCAACTATCATGTTTGTTCCTGTTTGCTGTGCTGTGCGACTATATTGTTCATTCGATAATTAAGGCTCTAATTTTGTTACGTGTCTATATACGTCATAATTTTTCCCTCAGGCATTTTTTTCTTCCCGCTGAATTAAAATGATATAAAACTAGATTTTGAAAGTTGTGACGCAAAGCAAAATTAAATGGTAATTTTTATGGTTTAATCAAGCGCAAAAACAAAGGGCAAATGAATTGAAGACTAATGACGTGACGAATTAGCGCAGAGGAGCGATTTGCGAAAAAAACACCAAAATAGGCGCCAACTTGGGTCGGAAAAAGAGAGTTTGTAATTCCTACTACCCAATTTATTGAATCCCCTGAGAAGAAGGATTACGTAGGCTCAAATTGCTCAAATACCAGACCTCTACGGAAAAAAAATCCCTGCCTTAAAGCGAATAAAAAAGCTCCATCTATAGTCAGTGGCATATTTTTGGGGGTGTTTAAACTTGGATCTAAATAAGATCAAATTGAAAACTTGTTTGGCTCTCAATTTGAAACCCCTGACTTAAAGCCTTTTGCAATTCAAATTGAGAACGTGAAGAGAAAAATTTCAAAAATCTTTGTCAATTTTGGCGAAAAACAAGCATTTGAGAAAGAAAATTGAACACAAATAGGTAAAGAAAACCGATGTACAAGCTGAATGGCAAAAACACCCGAATTGATAAGCT